AATATTATCTTTCAGTTCTTCCTCATTGAATGTTCTTCCCATAAACCTATCTTTCCTAAGATGGTTATTGAAAAAAGGGTGGATAGGGATATATAATTTTAGTCCCTTACTTTTCACTTCCATACATTTTCTCTTGATTTTAAGAGAGAAGAATGGATCATCTCTCTTTTAATGACTTAGTTTTCTAATCCCTGAATCAGGCTGAGAAGTGTTACTCCCTTGCCCAGTCTAGAGGTTATAATGCTACCTCCAGCTCCTTTGCTCGCTCGCTCTCTCTCCCTCTCTCTCATCCAGGACCCAGTTCAATGAGGTCAGTTCATCTCTCTTGAGTCACAAATACTTCATTCTGTAAATGATGGTAAGGTGCTAGATGCTTCTAAGGCACTGCCACGTCTAGTACTGCAGCCTCTGAGTCAAGTGATTCCAGAGTATGCTGTTGCTTCCCTGCATTAGGTGTTTCACATCTTGTGAAATGACTGTAAAGTGAAACCCTTCCCCATGAATGTTTAAAGAATTTAAGGGAATGCCAGACACACGCAATTGCATTTCATTTGTTAAACACTGCAATTTGCAAAGAATTTCAAGTAGTTAACCTGGGATTCGAGAAAAAATAAAGACAGATTTGCCAGATATGGTGTCCTATTCTAAAATTTCCTTCCAAGTACTGTAGTGTACCTGTACAAGCCATTCACCCTTTGTGTGGTAGAAATAACCATAGAACTCCTATACTAGGGATTCAGAATTTCAACACCATGCAGCTTGGAGCTTGGACTCTGGATTTCTTCACTGTCCTTGACATTTGGGAAGGATATTTTTCTTTTGGGGGCACCTATCCTGTGCATTGTGGAATATTTATCAGCACTTTTGCCCTCTGCTTATAGATGCTTCTCAAGTTTTAATGCCCAAATTCTTTCCAGCCTTTGCTGAAAGTTCTCTGGGGCAACACTGCCCCCTGTTAAACCACTGAGTTATAAAGATGTGAGATGGGCTTTCTGCTATTCACTAGGGGTCTGACAGGGATGGACTTTCTCAAGCTTTGAGTCTCATTCTCCTCTTCTGCACATAGTGGTTGTAAATTAAGTAGTCATTGTAAGACTAAGTGAGTCAATGTCTTTCTATTATTTAGTATTATTCTGTGTATGTACTCAATACATGTTATTTGCTATTATGATTACGATTTCATTTATCATTGTTTGCTTTTAACATTGACATTGGTATTTCCTCATAGATCTTGCCAGAAGAAAAAAATATGGGCCTATAAAGAAAAACTGCCTTATTAAATTTTCTTCAATACATTTGCTTTTTACTATTCATGCAGAAATTTTGAGCCATACATCTGATTACTGCTTGGTCTAAGACTAGAGTTACCTGGCCTCCAGCTGTATACATATCCTTATATACTTCTCCTTATATATCTTAAACATAACATTGAAGGAAAGCAAACATTCTTAAAAGTTTCTGTTCCTTTTCAATGTACTATTGATATATATTCTGCATTACTGTTTTCTCCCATAACATATGACATGAAAAACTACCGTCAAATTGTTATTTGATTCTTACAACAAAATTGCTAGTAAGAGTATCAGCATGGACATAATTCATCAAACTGGAAATTTGACTAGAAATATATGGACTGAGATTGTACTGCACTCTCAAATAGTTAAATGTAAATTAGAAAAAAATACCATTTTCTCCGATAGCAAAAGAAATGTTGACAAAAGTATAACAAGGCTGCTAGTGACCCATGTTGATTTCCAGCACTGAATTTGATATGTGCCTTTGGGAAAGCAACTTATTCATTCTAGTCCAGTGTGGTTAAAGGCACCATCTTAGGCAGTCGCTTGGGCCCAAGCTGGCAAAGTGAAGAATGCTATGGCTAGCATTCATATGTCTCTTCAGTATATCTCACCCTCCTTTTTCAGAGTCCTTAAATGCCTCCCTCCCCTATCTATTCCCTGCCTGAACTCCCAGCCCAATCTAAAACCAATGATCCCTTGAAATGTATTGTCCTAACTGACCACACTGCAACTCAGGGGAAAAAATGTCCTATATATTCTCCTTATCCAAAATAGGATAAATATAAAAAGACACTTTCCCACATCTTATCTTAGGCCCTGTGAGAATGATCCAGTTGAGCCTACCCTCTGCTTCCCTGTGCCAATATACGAAATTATGGATATGGGTGGGCCGAAGAAGGGAGAAGACAGAGAAAAAAAGAAAATGAAATCCAGTGTGCCCAAAGATCATTTACGTGTCAGAACCTCTACACTTTGTAATTTCTTCTTATTCAAATCCTAACAGTTGCAGTCAAATGAGGGGTAGGGAAGCCTATGAGTAAGGAGTTTATTTTAATATTCTTTTAATAGTAAACAATAGGAAAGAACTTGAGGGGCGCCTGGGTGGCTTAGTCGGTTAAGCGTCCAGCTTTCGCTTAGGTCATGATCTCGCGGTTCGTGGGTTCGAGCCCCGCATCGGGCTCTGTGCTGACTGCCAGCTCAGAGCCTGGAGCCTGTTTCAGATTCTGTGTCTCCCTCTCTCTCTGACCCTCCCCTGCTCATGCTGTCTCTCTCTC